TAATCACAGTGTGTGTGTCTGTCTGCCTATTAATCACAGTGTGTGTGTGTCTGTCTGCCTATTAATCACAGTGTGTGTGTGTCTGTCTGCCTATTAACCCATCATACTGTCTATTTGCCAAAAGTTGGGGCTCCTTTTGGATTAAACAATGAGTAAGTGTCAGAACTTTCTTGGCTCAATTACTTTCTGCTAAGCTAGGATGCTGAAACTATTTCATCCATGAGTGCATGTTGTCCAACTTTTTAGTGAAGTTTTTTTTTTTTCTTTTTTTAATCAATTCCCTCTAAACAAGGAGATAATGCCACTAATTACACAATGGGCTACTGGGAGTCAAACGAGAAGACTTTAGAAAGAACTGGAAACCTAATCATAAACAGGAAACAAGAGATAGATTTTGAGTCCTGTTCAAGAAACCAAGGTGGCATGTGAAGTGGACAATAGGCAAACCTATCTACTCCTATTAATCTACAGCAAGAACAACAGGATTAAGGCTCCAAGTTGTAGATTCAGGACGAAAGGTTTAAAGTGTTGCTTAGTAAATTTTTTAATGACATAAAAATCTATTCAAACTCTATGTAAATAATATTAGCAATAAGTGAACAATTAATGAGGACGAAATATCTGGAGAGGAATTTGAACAACCCTCCCCTGTGGATTGAATAAAGTGTTCAGTTCAAAGTTACATGCAGATTACTCAGATCAACAGTATATTTATTCATTTTCATCTACCGGCCTGAACATACGAGAAAAATTCTTTGTTTACATCTGAATACGAAACTGTATGAAAAACTTAGAGAGATTTCACTTGAAAGCACAAAATTTGGCCTTGCCTAATTGACTGATCTTCATGACTAGGTTGGTAAGGTGTTTTGGGCTAAATAGTAGCAACCTCTGCTCTGAGGGACACAGGTTTAATTCCTGTGGAAGAGCGCAAATCATACATAATAAAAATTTCTTAAAAGTATTTAAAAAAGAGCACTCTTATATGCATAAAACAGACAGAGTGGTCCAAAAGTCTTGTCATTCCTGCATAATATAATTTCACATGGCCAACGTGAAAATGGTGTTCTTACAAACCTTTTCGATGTGTGATAGCGTCAATGAAAGTGAATAAACTGAATCCAATACATGTGCCTTGTATTACTTGTTCTTCAATTGTTCTCATTATTTGGTTAGATAGATGTGAGTTTGTGACCCTGGGTTTCACGCTTTAGCGATCGTCAGACAAAACAGTTTTGTCTGACGATAAATTAAAAAAACCTAGGTCACAAACTCACATCTATCCAACTAAATATGTTAGCTCTATCTCCGATATTGAGCGCTTTCTAATAAGTACATATATATAATATATAAATAATTATACATACTTATATTTATTTATATTTATATACACTTTAATATATATATATATATATATATATATATATATATATATATATATATATATATATATATATATAGTATTAAAATTATTTTTGACAATGAGGTTAGCAGTTTTAAATTTAAGTGCTAACCTTTAATAAAACAAAATTATTTTTTTAAAAAATGTCATTACATTGCTATCATTTCTATTACCTATTTAATAAATCTTCTAACTTATTCTATATTTTTCTTTTTAATCATTTCACCCCAAGCAAGGCAATAAAGCTACAAAGAATATGAAAGAAAGAAAAAAAAAAAAAAAAAGAAAACATTAAAAAAGAAAACATTAAGAAAGAAAAATAATAGAACAAGAATTATGAAGACAAAAGATAATGACTGATAGGCATTTAAATTTTTGAAGATTAAAATTGACTGGAAAGCAAGGAGCCAGAATAGAGTTCCAGAAGCGAGAATTACAAGAAAAAAAAACTGTTTGTATAGAAAAACTTTTGCAGTTTTTTTAAAACTTCCCCATTTATAGGGCAGGAGGGGTGGCCAATAACAAAAATTGACATGCTTTCTCCGTATTTCTCTTGTCTATCAAATGTTAATCAAATATTCTTAAATTGTTTCTATCAACAGAAATTCTAGTTTAAAAAGATGTGACAATTTATTTTTCTTTCTGCTTTATATAACCATATTAAGTTAAACTTAGCAAATATCTCTTTGAAGCAATGCTGTAGATCAGGACCTCCCAACCTGGGCAATATCACCCACCAGTAGACGATTTCATCTGTTGGGAGGGGGATGAGCAACTGAACAGAAAATGGAGAGTGATTGTAAATTTTGGTGGATGATATGGGAGTTTAAGTATTAAAAAGGGTTTTCAAGATATGCTATCCCCCCCCCAAAAAAAAATTCAAAGAAAATATGCAAAGAAACTATTAAAATAAATAAAAAATAACAAAAAAAAAAAAAAAACAGGAGACTAAATAACTGGGTCACATTTCTCAATAAGATATAAATAGCCCCCTCAAAAAAAAAAAAAAAAAAAAAAAAAAAAAAAAAAATGGCAAAAAAAAAAACAGGAGACTAAATAACTGGGTCAAATTTCTCAATAAGATATAAATAGCCCCCCCTCCAAAAAAAAAAAAAAAAAAAAAAGAAAAAAAAACAGGAGAATAAATAACTGGGTCACATTTCTCAATAAGATATAAATAGCCCCCCTCCAAAAAAAAAAAAAAAAAAAAAACAAAAAAACAGAGACTAAATAACTGGGTCACATTTCTCAATAAGATATAAATAGCCCCCCAAAAAAAAAAAAAAAAAAAAAAAAAAAAAAAACAGGAGACTAAATAACTGGGTCACATTTCTCAATAAGATATAAATAGCCCCCCCCAAAAAAAAAAAAAATGGCAAAAAAACAGGAGACTAAATAACTGGGTCACATTTCTCAATAAGATATAAATAGCCCCCCTCCAAAAAAAAAAAACAAAAAACAAAGGAGATTTTGATATTTTCTATAGTTTTGAGAAGGGTCATTAATATTCAAGATGAATTAACATTATTTTTCGGATATGAATCAGATAATAGAAGACAAAGAACAACTTTGCCAGTAAAATTAATAAATGACTGCAGGATAATTTTTATTTAATTTTTATTTAATATAAAATTGCTTTTACTTTATCACATTGGTCATCTTTAATTTATCAAGGCAGGAACAGGTGACCATCAAAATAAAATTTGCCCATCACTGTATGCTTTTGAATATTTACTATACAGGTGAGCAGTGGAATATTTTTCTATGAGAAAATGGCCAATGATGCAACAAAGGTTGGGAACTCCTGTTCTAAGTATTGCCATTTCAAAAACGTTAATTTATTGAAGAATCTATAGCATTCCATGAAAGAGATATTTTCTAAGTTTAATTTAGATTCTTCAACAAGTTAGCAAATATCTATTTCAAGCAATGCTCTGGATACTCTCATTTTGAAAATAGATTCTTCAAAAAGATTCTTACTATAACTGGCTCATGTCCAAGGCAATTCAGTTTAAATTTATAGCTACTGTAATCAGTATATTTATATACTTCTAAAATCACTAATAACCAAGGATATAACTAACATATACAATGTACAGGAAGAGTAATGGATAGCAAACAGCTCAGGAGGAGAAATTGAAGTGTTAATGAAATTCCAGTGGTATTCATTACATTTTCCTATGTGTAAATACCCTTGGGAAAGTTCTCAATCCAGCTCTTCTCCCTTTAGCTATGGGTTAAATAGTAGAACTTGTATCTGGAAAAAATCATCACAAAGAAAAAAAAAAATCCACAAAAGGTCGATAAGCTTTAAAAACAAATCAATCAACTCTACCATAGAAGGTGCATTTTAAAAGAGGGGGGGAGGATGAATGCCCAAAATTATATACCAATGACCAAGTTACCTGTACTTAACTAACATATAAACACACCTTTGACAAACATGACTCCAGAATGAAATACCATATATACTTGTGCAATGTTTTTTTTTTATTATTTTAAATACAGCTGTACTTTTTGATTACAGTAAATGAATTACTGTATATTCTCGTGTAACGTTTTTTTTTTTTTTAGTTTAAATACAGCTACACTTTTTGACTAGTCAATGACAGTGTATGAACAGCTGGCCTTGGTTAATTTTATATCTCATTTATGATGCTACCCACTTAAATATTAACCTCAAAATTAGCTCTTCAAAAATCACATGATACTCAAGTATATACAATCATATTAAATTATGATTACAAATGAAAATGTCAAATGAAAAAAATAAATTAAAATAAAAAAAAAAAAAATAAAAAAATAAAAAAAAAAATATAGTAGTCTGGTTGAAGTATGTTACATGGCGGTAAACAAAAAGAAAAAAAAATTGACACTGCATATTTGTAATTCAGAATAATTAATAAAAAATTAATAAAAACATGACTTAAATTTCAAACTGAAGAATTTGTAACACATAAACAATAAATAAACTGAACTAATAAATTGAATCAAGGGAAGTAATCAACAATCAGAGGCCAATAGAGTTATTCCCCTTCATATTTTAAAACTCTTTTCCAGAAAAATGCAGAAAAAGAAAAAAAAAAAAAAAAAGTAAAGAAACATCACTTTATAGGAGTAATGAACCCCCCCCCTTGCCAACATTTCCTTTTCGGGATTAAATTTTTGTTTTTCTATTCCTCTTTTGGTTTGTTGTAATGTTCTTTGCAAAACTTACATGAGATTTTCTCTCCAAACAATATTCAAGTATTACATCAAATTTTCAATAGTGCTCAGTGGAAAGTAGCACCAATTATTCTTCTCTTAAAATGTAAAAAGAAATAAAGTAAGAAAAGGACCAAGATATATAAAAACAAGTTTTTACTTACTCTTATTTAAAAATCAAACAGATACAGAAGACAGTCACTACAATCCATCACCTTCATTTACAAGCCAGTCTACTGAAACAGAAAATAAAAACACATCATGAATGCAATGTGGATATTTCAATATTTAGGAGGGTTATGTGGGCTTCATAAATGAGTTTTGATTTGCAAATTATTAGGGAGGAGAAAAATGGTAAGAGAAGAGTTTGAACATAAGTCTTACAATGTAGTATTTAGAGAAAAGAGAGGGGAAAAGAGGAGGCGAGAAAGAAATTGAAAGAATTAGGAGGAAAAAAAAAATGGAGGGGAAAGGGGGGCGGGGAAGAAAATGGAGGGGAAAGGGGCGGGGGAAGAAAATGGAGGGAAAGGGGCGGGGAAGAAAATGGAGGGAAAGGGGCGGGGAAGAAAATGGAGGGGGAAGGGGCGGGGGGAAAAATGGAGGGAAAAGGGGGGGGAAAAATGGAGGGAAGGGGGATAAAAGAAAATGGAGGGGAAAGGGAGGATAAAGAAAATGGAGGGGAAAGGAGGATAAAAAGAAAATGGAGGGGGAAAGGAGGATAAAGAAAATGGAGGGGAAAGGAGGATAAAGAAAATGGAGGGGAAAGGAGGATAAAGAAAATGGAGGGAAAGGAGGATAAAGAAAATGGAGGGGAAAGGAGGATAAAGAAAATGGAGGGGAAAGGAGGATAAAGAAAATGGAGGGGAAAGGAGGATAAAGAAAATGGAGGGGAAAGGAGGATAAAGAAAATGGAGGGGAAAGGAGGATAAAGAAAATGGAGGGAAAGGAGGATAAAGAAAAATGGAGGGGAAAAGGAGGATAAAGAAAATGGAGGGGAGGGGGGATAAAGAAAATGGAGGGGAAAGGGGGGTAAAGAAAATGGAGGGGAAAGGAGGATAAAGAAAATGGAGGGGAAAGGAGGATAAAGAAAATGAGAGGAAGGGGGATAAGGAAAAAAGAAGGAGGAATAGAAAAATGCACAGCATAACATGCTATTTATTTTAAGGACTGTTTTCATAGAATTTTGCCACAGACAATCTGGTGCACACTGGACCCTAGTGCAATCAGATGATACTGCATGGGGGACAGGTCTTTAATCAGCAGGTTAATCAATTACCTTAATGAACTAAAATAAACCGGTTTCCCTTAAGCTAAACAGAATAGGATTTTAATTGAACAAGTTCAGTCTATATTTTTTTTTTTTAAATCAATTACATAATTTGATATTCAACAAAAATTTTTCTGGTTTTTTGCTTTCCTCAGGTGGATCTTGCAACAGGTAATTCTCAAATACCTTTCTTTTCTTCTTTTTTTAACTGGTTTAACTTAACTATCTCCAGGGAATGCAGTTATCTTGCAAATGTGAGCAGCAAATTCTTATAATACAGAAAGTATTGGGTTTGGTGTCAGTTTTATTTTTATTGGTTGATTTCTTTACAAACTAGGATATCTGGAGATTTCTTCATATAAATGTGAGATTGCTTCTCAGATTTCAGCGTTATGGAAAGCAGGGAGAAAGAAACAAATGTGTGAAGGAACATAGAAAAGCAACATAGAAAGAAAAGAAAAGGAACAAACTAAAAAAGAAAAAGGTTAAAAAAAAGATAATTTAAAAAGGAAAGGTTAAAAATAAAAGGATAAATTTAAAAAAAAATAAGAATTTAGTGAATGACATTTACAAATGAGAGTATGAAAGAAAAATACAGAAAAAACAAACAAAATCTGAATATGCAATTATGTAGTATTAATGTTAAAATAAAGTCGACGTCGGACGTTTCGGTCTATTTAAGACCATCTTCATGGACATTTTCATTTAAACATAATTAACATTAGAACTTATAAAAATTTAACACAAAAGGCGATGGACATAACAGCCCAACTAATCCAAACAGATACGTCGACTTTATTTTAACATTAATACTACATAATTGCATATTCAGATTTTGTTTGTTTTCTCTGTATTTTTCTTTCATACTGTCGGATTTATATCCATATATTTGCTTACAAAATGAGAGTATGTAAAAGAATCAAAAGAAAAAAAAAAAAAAGACGTTTCAAACATTGTGACAAAAATAAGAATACTTCTTCATATCCCAGAAGAATATATTTGTTTAACCAGACATTGCACAAAATATTTATTGAACTGAACTAATTTTACAATGTAAACTATTAATGGCTTGCATGTTTATCACACAAAGCATGACACTAAGTGCAGCAAAGATACAACACAGATTTCCTGCTAAAAATTGAAGATCACAAAAGTGGTTGCTTTAAACCATAGAACCCATAACAACATTTTACAACAGTATGGTGTTTAATCACTGAAAAAAGAAAAAAAATTGCACAGCCAGACATGCAAGTAGAAAAAAAGGTGTTTGCTGCTCTTCACTACACAGGCAATTTGGAAATAGTGAAATTGACCTCAAATATCCAAGGATAGAGTATTAGCAAGTGGGATCAGGTCTCAGGGTTCAACAGTCAAACATATAGAATAAAGCTGTTCATATGAGCAACTATCCATTAGCTACACTTTACTACTAATTTGTTCTTTTACTGTTATAACTTCACTTGTAGTTGTTATATTATTGTTGTTGTTGTTGATATTATTATTATCATTATTATTATGATGTTTCACTGTGACTACTAGCTGTGACATCACTAAAATGTCTCTACTGACTCCAACAGACCTTTCCTGACTCACTTCAACTTCTTTGTTTAAGGTATCTTGTCTTGTTCATTTGTGTTACCAGGGATGTCTTACCTACTCTACAACATCCCTGCTTTTGAGATTTTTTTTTCACTAGTAAATATTTTATTTTATTTCTTAGTATTCACCCACCCCTTCTCTTTCTGATGAGTTTGCCACGAACTGAACTTTGTATTTCTTTCATTTTGGGTCAACCTTTAGCTTTTTCTCTAAGTTTTCTTTTTCTGGTAATCATACTTGTATGTTACACAAATTTTTGGGGTGTTGGTATGTCAAAAATATTATACAAGACCTGCATAGGTTCTTCCTTTCTCACAGGCCTTTATTCAGTAAACCTTTTCTTTAACTGGTTCCAATGCCTTTTACATTCCCATTTTCTTTCCTTTTACCATACATGTTATTTTTACAATCCGTGACCTGATTATAAATTCTTCCCACATCTCTTTACCATTTTTATAAAGACTGAAATACATTTTTTCATGATTTTTGAAAAATTGTGCCCTTTTTGTTATCCATTCTACCAGTAGTAGCAAACGCAAAGCATGTGTGACAGCTTTCATGTTACCGCCATTATATTTATATAGAATTAACCCTCCTATACCAAAGTAACTAGCATCTGAAGTCAATACAATATCTGCTTTTGGATTGTAGTGCGCTAATGATAAGTCTAACATTAGTATTTTGTTGATTTCTTCAAACACCTGATACTTATCAGTCCAATTCTACTTTACGCCTTTTTTAAGCAAATTGTTCAGTGGAGCTCAATTTCTGCATATTAGGTAAATAAATTTGATAATAGTTTGCTAGTCCTACAAATGCTTGTAACCTAGTAACATTTGTTGGAGGAGGCATATTCTTAATTGTACTTGCCCTTGATAGATCTGGTTGACAACCATTTTTGTCAAGGATTTGTCCTAGGTACTTGATTTTAGGTAAAAACAATCCTCACACTTTTCCTCACAGAGCTTGAAACCATATTCTCTATTTATTTTTCAAAAATATTTCTTATGCCCAATATGTTGTTCCTTAAATAGACTTAATATATCCTCCAGACAAGCAACTGCAAAATCACAATCTGCAAGTATAGTATCCATAGCTTGTTGAAATATAGCTGGAGCTACTCTTATACCAAAAGGAAGTCGGCTGGACTTATACAATCCTTTGTGCATATTTATAGTTATCAACTCTGAACAGTCTTCTTCAATCTGTATTTGCAAATATACTTCAGAAAGATCCAGCTTCAAAAATATTTTTCCACCATTTAAATTTGCAAAAATTTCCTCTGGACTTGGTAATGAGTAGTTATAGGACTTTAAAAATTTGTTTAACCCTGTCGAAAAATCAGCAACAACACAAATTTTTTTTTTTTTTTTTTTTTACATACACTGGTAGTGCTACCCATTTTGAATGCTCAATGTTTTCAATTACACCTATTTTTTCAAGTCTGTCTAATTCTTCATTGACTTAATCCAATGCTGTGAATGATATGCTACATTTTGGTTTAAACACTGGTGTCAACCCATTTTTTTCACTTGAAATTTTGGAACACTGACCCATCTCATGCGACAGAATGTCCAGAAAACTTTTTTTTTTCAATTCTTCCTTTAAATTTTTACACCGTTTATTTTAAGTGGTAGTTTGTCCACTTATATTTTTGCAATAAATATAAATCCCACAACTCAAATAATTCCATCCAGTCAGTGCTGAATAAGTTTGTAGTATTTTTTAGCACATAAGCCTTATCTTTTACACACTTGTTACGAAACGAAACATTACAAGTCATTTCATCAATAAAAAATAATTTCTTACCTGACTGCCACATGTGATTTTCGAAGTTCTTTTTAAAATAGGTTTTCTGTTTGCTTTCCATGTGGCTTCATTGATTATTGCGATAACACAACCAGTGTCTAGTTGCATTTTTACATCCACATTAGATTTCACATACACAAATTTTCTTTGATTTTCTGTAATTATTTTTTGTTACAATGCGGTGTACAAATTTTTTTTCTGTGAGAACTTTTCCTTGATTTAGTTTTACAGTGTGACTGTCCTTTCCCACACTTGTAGCACTTTGAATTCTTAAAAGGACAGTTGTCTCAGAGATGTAACCTTCCACATCTGAAACATGGATTAATTTTCTTTTTTCTACATTTTTCTTTACTTTGTATGTATGCACAATGCTTTTGCTTCAATTTCTTCCATATTGTGTCTTTTTAGGATTCTCTAGCATTTGTCCAATATTTCTTGCAGTGTTGGTTTTTGATTCTGTTCAAGATTTGTTAGAATTCTAGCAGATATTTCTGCATCTTTTTTTTGCCATTAACCCTTGAACAAAAATTAATCCTTGAAACATATCCAGAGTCAGTTCATTTAATTTGAATCTTTCACACTCCTTGTTAATGCTTTCAGCATATATGACAAAATCTGTCTTCTTTTTTTATCAGATTTATACACTTCCAACAAGTATTGAATAAGACACTTTTCACTAAAAATTTTAGTCAGAATATTTACTGTTTCTTCAAAGCAAATTTTTCCTGTAATACAAAATTACAGTATTTTTCATATTCTACTGGTGCTAACTTTCTCAACAAAAGTCTTATTTTTTCTTGTCTTCCTAGTTGCTACATTCTTCTCTGAAAATTCGCTTGTATCTTCTAAAAATCAGCAGAAAAGGTAATTCCATCATCTGAATTCTATTTGAAGTCAGCTATGGCATTTGCCACCTTGTCCGGAGTGTAAGAACTTGGGAAATCTTCCGTTTTCTTTCATATTATTTTAATTTTGTTGTTTCTGGAGTTCCAATGATTGCTGTTGTTGCGGTTGCTATATTTTTAACACTTGGGATAATAAGTCATTCATATTTAAAAGAAAATCTTTATTTTTTTGCTATTTTTTATACACAACCAAGAAAAAATTAAACCAATGTGGTTCTAATTTCTCATTGTCACTTATGTGCGCCAAAGCAAAAAGTACTTTTTCCTACTCTGTACGAGTTTCGATCACTTGTTGCTACTGTTATAACTCACTCCTAGCAGTTATAATATTATGCCACACTTCAACTACTCTCTATGATGTCACTAGAACTTCTCTAGTGACTCCTCTTTATTTAAGGAGTCTTGCCTAGTTCGTTTGTGTGAAGTGGGGAGGGGTCTTACTTACTCTACAACATTTACACAGGCAGTTTGGAAATAGTGAAATTGACCCCAAATATTCAGGGATAGAGTATTGACAAGTGGGATCAGGTCTCAGAGTTCAACTGCCTAACATATAAATAGAATAAGGCT